GGTGAGGGCCCCATCCAGGTGAGGGGAACCTGTCCAGGTGAGGGAACCCATCCAGGTGAGGGGAACCTGTCCAGGTGAGGGGAACCCATCCAGGTGAGGGGAACCTGTCCAGGTGAGGGAACCCATCCAGGTGACGGAACCCATCCAGGTGAGGGGAACCCATCCAGGTGAGGGGAACCCGTCCAGGTGAGGGGACCCATCCAGGTGAGGGGAACCCGTCCAGGTGAGGGAACCCATCCAGGTGAGGGGAACCCATCCAGGTGAGGGCCCCATCCAGGTGAGGGGAACCTGTCCAGGTGAGGTCAGAGTTGGATCTCATGGATGGGGGAGCCCATCCAGGTGAGGGGAACCCACCCAGGTGAGGGGGTCTGCAAAGGGGAGGGGCTTGGCAAGGCGAGGGGAACCCGTCCAGGTGAGGGGAACCCGTCCAGGTGAGGGGAACCCATCCAGGTGAGGGAACCCATCCAGGTGAGGGGAACCCGTCCAGGTGAGGGAACCCATCCAGGTGAGGGGAACCCGTCCAGGTGAGGGGAACCCATCCAGGTGAGGGGAACCTGTCCAGGTGAGGGCCCCATCCAGGTGAGGGGAACCTGTCCAGGTGAGGGGAACCCATCCAGGTGAGGGGAACCCATCCAGGTGAGGTCAGAGTTGGATCTCATGGATGGGGGAGCCCATCCAGGTGAGGGGAACCCGTCCAGGTGAGGGGAACCTGTCCAGGTGAGGGGAACCCATCCAGGTGAGGGGAACCCATCCAGGTGAGGGGAACCTGTCCAGGTGAGGGGAACCCGTCCAGGTGAGGGGAACCCGTCCAGGTGAGGGCCCCATCCAGGTGAGGGGAACTTGTCCAGGTGAGGGGAACCCATCCAGGTGAGGTCAGAGTTGGATCTCATGGATGGGGGAGCCCATCCAGGTGAGGGGAACCTGTCCAGGTGAGGGAACCCATCCAGGTGAGGTCAGAGTTGGATCTCATGGATGGAAGAACCCATCCAGGTGAGGGGAACCCATCCAGGTGAGGGCCCCATCCAGGTGAGGGGAACCCATCCAGGTGAGGGAACCCATCCAGGTGAGGTCAGAGTTGGATCTCATGGATGGGGGAGCCCATCCAGGTGAGGGCCCCATCCAGGTGAGGGCCCCATCCAGGTGAGGGCCCCATCCAGGTGAGGGGAACCCATCCAGGTGAGGGGAACCTGTCCAGGTGAGGGAACCCATCCAGGTGAGGGGAACCCATCCAGGTGAGGGCCCCATCCAGGTGAGGGCCCCATCCAGGTGAGGGGAACCCATCCAGGTGAGGGGAACCTGTCCAGGTGAGGGAACCCATCCAGGTGAGGGGAACCCATCCAGGTGAGGGGAACCTGTCCAGGTGAGGGGAGCCCATCCAGGTGAGGGGAACCCTCCAGGTGAGGGCCCCATCCAGGTGAAGGCCCCATCCAGGTGAGGGCCCCATCCAGGTGAGGCCGGTACCCGTAACCGCCCCCGTGCCCCGGCAGAGGGACGGCAAGAAGGATTATTACCAACGCGTCTGCATCGACTCCGAGACCCTGGAGGTGGGCGACTGCGTGTCCGTGAGCCCCGACGACCCCACCAAGCCCCTCTACCTGGCCAGGTGGGTTCTCCATGTTCCCACAGGGGTGGGGACACGGGGACAACCCCACTGAGACCCTCCACCAAGCCAGGTGGGTTCTCCCATGGGTTGGGGACACGGGGACGTCCCCAGTGATCCCACCAAGACAGGTGGGTTCTCCCATGGGTTGGGGACACGGGGACAACCCCACTGAGACCCTCCACCAAGCCAGGTGGGTTCTCCCATGGGTTGGGGACACGGGGACGTCCCCAGTGATCCCACCAGGCCAGGTGGGTTCTCCCATGGGTTGGGCACATGGGGACATCCCTGATGATCCCACTGGGTTCTCCCATGGGGTTGGGCACACGGGGACATCCCCAGTGATCCCACCAGGCCAGGTGGGTTCTCCCATGGGTTGGGGACATGGGGACGTCCCCGATGATCCCACCAAGCCAGGTGGGTTCTCCCATGGGGACGACCCCGATGATCCCACCAGGCCAGGTGGGTTCTCCCATGGGTTGGGGACATGGGGACATCCCCAGTGATCCCACCAGGCCAGGTGGGTTCTCCCATGGGTTGGGGACATGAGGACGTCCCCAGTGATCCCACCAGGCCAGGTGGGTTCTCCCATGGGTTGGGCACATGGGGACGTCCCCAGTGATCCCACCAGGCCAGGTGGGTTCTCCCATGGGTTGGGGACATGGGGACATCCCTGATGATCCCACTGGGTTCTCCTATGGGTTGGGGACACGGGGACGTCCCCAGTGATCCCACCAGGCCAGGTGGGTTCTCCCATGGGTTGGGGACACAGGGACGTCCCCGATGATCCCACCAAGCCAGGTGGGTTCTCCCATGGGGACGACCCCGATGATCCCACCAAGCCAGGTGGGTTCTCCCATGGGTTGGGGACATGGAGACATCCCCAGTGATCCCACCAGGCCAGGTGGGTTCTCCCATGGGTTGGGGACACGGGGACCTCCCTTCTCACACCGCGGCGCCCCTCAGGGTGACGGCCATGTGGGAGGACAGCAGTGGCCAGATGTTCCACGCCCACTGGTTCTGCCCGGGCTCGGACACCGTCCTGGGGGCCACCTCGGACCCTCTGGAGCTGTTCCTGGTGGACGAGTGCGAGGACATGCAGCTGTCCTACATCCACGGCAAGGTCAACGTCATCTACAAGGCGCCCTCGGACAACTGGGCCATGGAGGTGAGGACAGCGCCGCGGGCTCCGGGCGGCGCCGCTCGGCGCGGCCGATCCCACCGCGCCGGTGGTTTGTCCTTCAGGGCGGGCTGGACACGGAGATCAAGATGGTGGAGGACGACGGGAGGACCTACTTCTACCAGATGTGGTACGACCAGGAGTACGCGCGCTTCGAGAGCCCGCCCGGCGCGCAGCCCACCGAGGACAACAAGTACAAGTCAGTTTTGGGCTGGAAAAACGGGAATTTTGGGCTGGAAAAACGGGAATTTTGGGCTGGAAAAACGGGAATTTTGGGTTCTTCCCACCCCAAAAAATGGATTTTTTTTTTGGAGAACCTGGTGGTGTTCCAGCAGGTTCTGCATGAGCTGCGCGCGCCTGGACGAGGTGAGGCACAAGGAGATCCCCAAGGTGGCCGAGCCGCTGGAGGAGGCCGACGGGAAGATGTTCTACGCCGTGGCCACCAAGAACGGCGTCCAGTACCGGGTCGGCGACGGCGTCTACCTGCTGCCGGACGCCTTCTCCTTCAGGTGGGCTTGGAGAACCCATCTTTGGGCTGGGATTTGGGGATTTTGGGGTTCCACACCTGTAAGTGAAGGTCTGATGTGCCGAATTTCCAGAATTTGTGTATAAAAATCAGCCCAGTTTTGGTTTTCTGATGTTTAATTGAGAGGCGGCTCCGGTGGGATGATCCCGGTGCTGTTTTGGGGCGTGAATTGGAATTTGGGAATTGCAGGATCGGAGGATGAAATTTGGGAGATCCCTCTAAGAACCTGGGTTCCAGATTTTAACTCGGTTTTGGGGGATAAATCGGAATTATGGAATTAAGGTTCTAAAACATCTCCAAGATCTCTTTGATTCCAACTCTTAACCCAACTTTTGACAAAAAAATTAGAATCAAGACTGGAAAACCGCTCCAGGATCCCTCAATTCCAAATCTTCACCCAACTTTTGGTGGAAAAATTGGAATTATGGAATTATAGAACCAATTAAGGTTAGGAGATGCCTCCAAGATCCCTGAATTCCAAATCTTCACCCAAATTTTGGTGGAAAAATTGGAATTATGGAATTATAGAACCAATTAAGGTTAGGAGACCCCTCCAAGATCCCTCAATTCCAAATCTTAGCCCAACATTTGGTGAATAAATTGGAATTAATGCATTATAGAACCAATTAAGGTTAGGAGACCCCACCAAGATCCCTGAATTCCAAATCTTCACCCAAATTTTGGTGGAAAAATTCGAATTATGGAATTGTAGAACCAATTAAGGTTAGGAGATGCCTCCAAGATCCCTGAATTGCAAATCTTCACCCAACTTTTGGTGGAAAAATTGGAATTAAGAAATTATAGAACCAATTAAGGTTAGGAGACCCCACCAAGATCCCTCAATTCCAAATCTTCACCCAACTTCTGACAAAAAAATTGGAATCAAGGCTGGACAACCCCTCCAAGATCCCTGAATTCCAAATCTTCACCCAAATTTTGGTGGAAAAATTGGAATTATGGAATTATAGAACCAATTAAGGTTTGGAGACCCCACCAAGATCCCTGAATTCCAAATCTTCACCCAAATTTTGACAAAAAAATTGGAATCAAGGCTGGACAACCCCTCCAAGATCCCTGAATTCCAAATCTTCACCCAAATTTTGATGGAAAAATTTGAATTAATGCATTATAGAACCAATTAAGGTTAGGAGACCCCTCCAGGATCCCTCAATTCCAAATCTTCACCCAACTTTTGACAAAAAAATTGGAATCAAGGCTGGACAACCCCTCCAAGATCCCTGAATTCCAAATCTTCGCCCAAATTTTGGTGGAAAAATTGGAATTATGGAATTATAGAACCAGTTAAGGTTAGGAGACCCCACCAAGATCCCTCAATTCCAAATCTTCACCCAAATCTTGACAAAAAAATTGGAATCAAGGCTGGAAAACCCCTCCAAGATCCCTGAATTCCAAATCTTCACCCAACTTTTGACAAAAAAATTGGAATCAAGGCTGGACAACCCCTCCAAGATCCCTGAATTCCAAATCTTCACCCAACTTTTGGTGGAAAAATTTGAATTAATGCATTATAGAACCAATTAAGGTTAGGACACCCCACCAAGATCCCTCAATTCCAAATCTTCACCCAAATTTTGGTGGAAAAATTGGAATTATGGAATTATAGAACCAATTAAGGTTAGGAGATACCTCCAAGATCCCTGAATTCCAAATCTTCACCCAACTTTTGACAAAAAAATTGGAATTATGGAATTATGGAACCAGTTAAGGTTAGGAGACCCCACCAAGATCCCTGAATTCCAAATCTTCACCCAAATTTTGGTGGAAAAATTGGAATTATGGAGTTATAGAACCAATTAAGGTTAGGAGACCCCTCCAAGATCCCTGAATTCCAAATCTTCACCCAACTTTTGACAAAAAAATTGGAATCAAGGCTGGACAACCCCTCCAAGATCCCTGAATTCCAAATCTTCACCCAACTTTTGGTGGACAAATCCAACTCAGGGCTGGAAAACTCCTCCAAGACCCCCCCCAGCTCCACCCTCCACCGCCCCAAGCTCCCCATCCCGACGTTTTCGGGACGTTTTGCCGGTTTTCGCAGCGTGAAGCCGGCCAGCCCGGCCAAGAGGCCCAAGAAGGAGGCGGTGGACGAGGAGCTGCACCCCGAGCACTACCGGAAATACTCGGAGTACATCAAGGGCAGCAACCTGGACGCGCCCGACCCGTTCCGCGTGGGCCGCATCAAGAGCATCTTCTGCAGCCTGCGCGGCAACGGCAAACCCAACGAGGCCGACATCAAGCTCGGCATCTACAAGTTCTACAGGTGCCAGATTTGGGGCTTTTTGGGGTGGTTTTGGTGGGCTGGGAAGGTTTGGAGTTCGTGGTGAGAGCGGGGTTTGATCTGGTGGCCCAAAGCTTTGGAGGTTCTTGGTTGACTTCCCACCTTGTTGGACGTTCCCGGTTTGAAAAACGTGCCCAAAACTGGAGGATCGTCCCAAACTTGGTGAGGCTGGTTGGCCTCAAAATCGGGAATTTCGTCCCCAAATCCATGAGGCTGGTTGGCCTAAAAATCGGGAATTTCGTCCCCAAATCCATGAGGGTTTTTGGCCTCAAAATCGGGAATTTTGTCCCCAAATCCATGAGGCTGGCTGGCCTCAAAATCAGGAATTTTGTCCCCAAATCCATGAGGCTGGTTGGCCTCAAAATCGGGAATTTTGTCCCCAAATCCATGAGGCTGGCTGGCCTCAAAATCGGGAATTTTGTCCCCAAATCCATGAGGCTGGCTGGCCTCAAAATCGGGAATTTTGTCCCCAAATCCATGAGGCTGGTTGGCCTCAAAATCGGGAATTTTGGCCCCAAATCCATGAGGCTGGTTGGCCTCAAAATCGGGAATTTTGCTCCAAATCCGTGAGGCTGGTTGGCCTCAAAATCGGGAATTTCGTCCCCAAATCCATGAGGCTGGTTGGCCTCAAAATCGGGAATTTTGTCCCCAAATCCATGAGGCTGGTTGGCCTCAAAATCGGGAATTTTGTCCCCAAATCCATGAGGCTGGCTGGCCTCAAAATCGGGAATTTTGTCCCCAAATCCATGAGGGTTTTTGGCCTCAAAATCGGGAATTTTGTCCCCAAATCCATGAGGCTGGTTGGCCTAAAAATCGGGAATTTTGTCCCCAAATCCATGAGGGTTTTTGGCCTCAAAATCGGGAATTTTGTCCCCAAATCCATGAGGCTGGCTGGCCTCAAAATCGGGAATTTTGTCCCCAAATCCATGAGGGTTTTTGGCCTCAAAATCGGGAATTTTGTCCCCAAATCCATGAGGGTTTTTGGCCTCAAAATCGGGAATTTCCTCCCCAAATCCATGAGGGTTTTTGGCCTCAAAATCGTGAATTTTGTCCCCAAATCCATGAGGCTGGTTGGCCTCAAAATCGGGAATTTTGTCCCCAAATCCATGAGGCTGGTTGGCCTCAAAATCGGGAATTTTGTCCCCAAATCCATGAGGCTGGTTGGCCTCAAGATCAGGAATTTTGTCCCCAAATCCATGAGGCTGGTTGGCCTCAAAATTGGGAATTTTGTCCCCAAATCCGTGAGGCTGGTTGGCCTCAAATTCAGGAATTTTGTCCCCAAATCCATGAGGCTGGTTGGCCTCAAAATCGGGAATTTTGTCCCCAAATCCATGAGGCTGGTTGGCCTCAAAATTGGGAATTTTGTCCCCAAATCCGTGAGGCTGGTTGGCCTCAAATTCAGGAATTTTGTCCCCAAATCCATGAGGCTGGTTGGCCTCAAAATCGGGAATTTTGTCCCCAAATCCATGAGGCTGGTTGGCCTCAAAATCGGGAATTTTGTCCCCAAATCCATGAGGGTTTTTGGCCTCAAAATCGGGAATTTTGTCCCCAAATCCATGAGGCTGGCTGGCCTCAAAATCAGGAATTTTGTCCCCAAATCCATGAGTCTGGTTGGCCTCAAAATTGGGAATTTTGTCCCCAAATCCATGAGGTTGGTTGGCCTCAAAATCGGGAATTTTGTCCCCAAATCCATGAGGGTTTTTGGCCTCAAAATCGGGAATTTTGTCCCCAAATCCATGAGGCTGGCTGGCCTCAAAATCGGGAATTTCGTCCCCAAATCCATGAGGCTGGTTGGCCTCAAAATCGGGAATTTTGTCCCCAAATCCATGAGGGTTTTTGGCCTCAAAATCGGGAATTTTGTCCCCAAATCCATGAGGCTGGTTGGCCTCAAAATCGGGAATTTCGTCCCCAAATCCATGAGGCTGGTTGGCCTCAAAATCGGGAATTTTGTCCCCAAATCCATGAGGCTGGTTGGCCTCAAAATCGGGAATTTCGTCCCCAAATCCATGAGGCTGGTTGGCCTCAAGATCAGGAATTTTGTCCCCAAATCCGTGAGGCTGGTTGGCCTCAAATTCAGGAATTTTGTCCCCAAATCCATGAGGCTGGTTGGCCTCAAAATTGGGAATTTTGTCCCCAAATCCATGAGGGTTTTTGGCCTCAAAATCGGGAATTTTGTCCTCAAATCCATGAGGGTTTTTGGCCTCAAAATTGGGAATTTTGTCCCCAAATCCATGAGGCTGGTTGGCCTCAAAATCGGGAATTTCGTCCCCAAATCCATGAGGCTGGTTGGCCTCAAAATCGGGAATTTCGTCCTCAAATCCATGAGGCTGGTTGGCCTCAAAATCGGGAATTTTGTCCCCAAATCCATGAGGGTTTTTGGCCTCAAAACCGGGAATTTTGTCCCCAAATCCATGAGGCTGGTTGGCGTCAAAATCATGAATTTTGCCCCAAATCCATGAGGCTGGCTGGCCTCAAAATCGGGAATTTTGTCCCCAAATCCATGAGTCTGGTTGGACTCAAAATCGGGAATTTCGTCCCCAAATCCATGAGGGTTTTTGGCCTCAAAATCGGGAATTTCATCCCCAAATCCATGAGGCTGGTTGGCCTCAAAATCGGGAATTTTGTCCCCAAATCCATGAGGCTGGTTGGCCTCAAAATCGGGAATTTTGTCCCCAAATCCATGAGGCTGGCTGGCCTCAAAATCGGGAATTTTGTCCCCAAATCCATGAGGCTGGTTGGCCTCAAAATCGGGAATTTTGTCCCCAAATCCATGAGGCTGATTGGCCTCAAAATCGTGAATTTTGCCCCAAATCCATGAGGCTGGTTGGCCTCAAAATCGGGAATTTTGTCCCCAAATCCATGAGGCTGGTTGGCCTCAAAATCGGGAATTTTGTCCCCAAATCCATGAGGCTGGCTGGCCTCAAAATCGGGAATTTTGTCCCCAAATCCATGAGTCTGGTTGGCCTCAAAATCAGGAATTTTGTCCCCAAATCCGTGAGGCTGGTTGGCCTCAAAATCAGGAATTTTGTCCCCAAATCCATGAGGCTGGCTGGCCTCAAAATCGGGAATTTTGTCCCCAAATCCATGAGGCTGGTTGGCCTCAAAATCAGGAATTTTGTCCCCAAATCCATGAGGCTGGTTGGCCTCAAAATCGGGAGTTTCATCCCCAAATCCATGAGGCTGGTTGGCCTCAAAATCGTGAATTTTGTCCCCAAATCCATGAGGCTGGCTGGCCTCAAAATCTGGAATTTCGTCCTCAAATCCATGAGGCTGGTTGGCCTCAAAATCGGGAATTTTGTCCCCAAATCCATGAGACTGGTTGGCCTCAAAATCGGGAATTTTGTCCCCAAATCCATGAGTCTGGTTGGCCTCAAAATCGGGAATTTTGTCCCCAAATCCATGAGGCTGGTTGGCCTCAAAATCGGGAATTTTGTCCCCAAATCCATGAGGCTGGTTGGCCTCAAAATCGGGAATTTTGTCCCCAAATCCATGAGGGTTTTTGGCCTCAAAATCGGGAATTTTGTCCCCAAATCCATGAGGCTGGTTGGCGTCAAAATCATGAATTTTGCCCCAAATCCATGAGGCTGGCTGGCCTCAAAATCGGGAATTTTGTCCCCAAATCCATGAGGCTGGTTGGACTCAAAATCGGGAATTTCGTCCCCAAATCCATGAGGGTTTTTGGCCTCAAAATCGGGAATTTCATCCCCAAATCCATGAGGGTTTTTGGCCTCAAAATCAGGAATTTCGTCCCCAAATCCATGAGGCTGGTTGGCCTCAAAATCGGGAATTTTGTCCCCAAATCCATGAGGCTGGCTGGCTTCAAAATCGGGAATTTCGTCCCCAAATCCATGAGGCTGGTTGGCCTCAAAATCGGGAATTTTGTCCCCAAATCCATGAGGCTGGCTGGCCTCAAAATCGGGAATTTTGTCCTCAAATCCATGAGGCTGGTTGGCCTCAAAATCGGGAATTTTGCCCCAAATCCATGAGGGTTTTTGGCTCAGTGGCCCCAAAATTGGGAAAACTCTCCCAAAATTGGGGAGGATTTGGGGTCGGTGCCATGCTCAGTGCTGGGGATTGGGGTAGAAATCCACGGATTTGGACAATCCTGATGGGGCATTTTTGGACATTTTCGGATGTCTTGAGGTATCTTTGTGTTTCTTTGGACCTTTTGGGTATTTTTTGGATATTTTGGGACATTTTTTGATGTCCTGGCATGTCTTGAGATATCTTTGGATTTTTTTGGGTATCTTTGGGTATTTCGGGACGTTTTTGGATGTCCTGGGATATCTTGAGATGTCTTTGGACTTCTTTGGATTTCTTTGGGTATTTTTTGGTATTTTTAGGTATTTTGGGACATTTTTTGGATGTCCTGGGATATCTTGAGATGTCTTTGGACTTCTTTGGATTTCTTTGGGTATTTTTGGGTATTTTTAGGTATTTTGGGACATTTTTGGATGTCCTGAGATGTCTTTGGACTTCTTTGGATTTCTTTGGGTATTTTTGGGTATTTTTAGGTATTTTGGGACATTTTTGGATGTCCTGAGATGTCTTTGGACTTCTTTGGATTTCTTTGGGTATTTTTGGGTATTTTTAGGTATTTTGGGACATTTTTGGATGTCCTGAGATGTCTTTGGAATTCTTTGGATTTCTTTGGGTATTTTGGGGTATTTTTAGGTATTTTGGGACATTTTTGGATGTCCTGAGATGTCTTTGGAATTCTTTGGATTTCTTTGGGTATTTTTGGGTATTTTTAGGTATTTTGGGACATTTTTTGGATGTCCTGGGATATCTTGAGATATCTTTGGGTTTCTCTGGATTTCTTTGGGTATTTTTGGGTATTTTTAGGTATTTTGGGACATTTTTGGATGTCCTGAGATGTCTTTGGACTTCTTTGGATTTCTTTGGGTATTTTTGGGTATTTTTAGGTATTTTGGGACATTTTTTGGCTGTCCTGGGATATCTTGAGATATCTTTGGGTTTCTCTGGATTTCTTTGGGTATTTTGGGGTATTTTTGGGTATTTTTAGGTATTTTGGGACATTTTTTGGCTGTCCTGGGATATCTTGAGATGTCTTTGGACTTCTTTGGATTTCTTTGGGTATTTTGGGTATTTTTAGGTATTTTGGGACATTTTTGGACGTCCTGAGATGTCTTTGGACTTCTTTGGATTTCTTTGGGTATTTTTGGGTATCTTTGAGTATTTTGGGACATTTTTCGGATGTCCTGGGATATCTTGAGATGTCTTTGGACTTCTTTGGATTTCTTTGGGTATTTTTGGGTATTTTTAGGTATTTTGGGACATTTTTTGGCTGTCCTGAGATGTCTTTGGACTTCTTTGGATTTCTTTGGATCTTTTTGGGTATCTTTGAGTATTTTGGGACACTTTTGGATGTCCTGGGATATCTTGAGATGTCTTTGGATGCCTTGAGATGTCTTTGGACTTCTTTGGGTATTTTTGGGTATTTTTAGGTATTTTGGGACACTTTTGGCTGTCCTGGGATATCTCGAGATATCTTTGTGTTTCTCTGGATGTCGTGGGAGGTCTTTGGACATCTTGGGACACTTTTGGCCATCTCTGCATGCCCCAAGCTCCCTTCAAACCCCTTTTCCCTCAACCCACTCCCCATCCCACCCAAAATCCCTTCTCCAAGCCCCAACCCCACCGAGAAAAGGACCCACCTGGGTTTTTTTCCCCAATCCCGGCGTTTTTACGGGGATTTCCAGGCCGGAGAACACGCACAAGTCCACCAAGGCCAGCTACCACGCCGACATCAACCTCCTCTACTGGAGCGACGAGGAGACCACCGTGGAGTTCCGGGCGGTGCAGGGCCGCTGCTCCGTGGTCTACGGCGAGGACCTGACCGAGAGCATCCAGGACTACTCGGCCGGTGGCCTGGACCGCTTCTACTTCCTGGAGGTGAGGGCAGGGACGATGTTCCTCCAGGCTGGAGGAGTCTGGAGACACCAGGGATGGAGAAAATTGGGAGGTTCTGGTGTCTCCAGGTGGGTTTTCCATGGAAAGGTTGGATTTGGGGCTGGTTCCGAGATTTTGGGGAGCAAATCTGGGTTTTGAAGGATCTGGGTGAGTTCCTGGAGGTCTGGAGACACCAGGGATGGAGAAAATTGGGGGGTTCTGGTGCCTCCAGGTGGCTTTTCCATGGAAAGGTTGGATTTGGGGCCGGTTCCGAGATTTTGGGGAGCAAATCTGGGTTTTGAAGGATCTGGATGAGTTCCTGGAGGTCTGGAGACACCAGGGATGGAGAAAATTGGGGGGTTCTGGTGCCTCCAGGTGGGTTGTCCATGGAAAGGTTGGATTTGGGGCCAATTCCAGCATTTTAGGGAGTAAATCTTGGGTTTCCAAGGATCTGGATGAGTTCCTGGAGGTCTGGAGACACCAGGGATGGATCAAAGTTGGGGTTTTCCATGGAAAGGTTGGATTTGGGGCCAATTCCAGCATTTTAGGGAGTAAATCTTGGGTTTTGAAGGATCTGGATGAGTTCCTGGAGGTCTGGAGACACCAGGGATGGAGCAAAGTTGGGGTTCTCCATGGAGGAATTGGATTTGGGGACAGTTCTGAGATTTTGGGGAGCAAATCTGGGTTTTGAAGGATCTGGGTGAGTTCCTGGAGGTCTGGAGACACCAGGGATGGATCAAAGTTGGGGTTTTCCATGGAAAGGTTGGATTTGGGGCTGGTTACGAGATTTTGGGGAGCAAATCTGGGTTTTGAAGGATCTGGATGAGTTCCTGGAGGTCTGGAGACACCAGGGATGGAGCAAAGTTGGGGTTTTCCATGGAAAGGTTGGATTTGGGGCTGGTTCTGAGATTTTGGGGGGCAAATCTGGGTTTTGAAGGATCTGGAGGTCTGGAGACACCAGGGATGGAGAAAATTGGGGGGTTCTGGTGTCTCCAGGTGGGTTGTCCACGGAAAGGTTGGATTTGGGGCCGGTTCCGAGATTTTGGGGAGCAAATCTGGGTTTTCCAGGATCTGGATGAGTTCCTGGAGGTCTGGAGACACCACAGATGGAGAAAACTGGGGGGTTCTGGTGTCTCCAGGTGGGTTTTCCATGGAAAGGTTGGATTTGGGGCCGGTTCCGAGATTTTAGGGAGCAAATCTGGGTTTTCAAGGATCTGGGTGAGTTCCTGGAGGTCTGGAGACACCAGGGATGGAGAAAACTGGGGGGTTCTGGTGTCTCCAGGTGGCTTTTCCATGGAAAGGTTGGATTTGGGGCCAATTCCAGCATTTTAGGGAGTAAATCTTGGGTTTTGAAGGATCTGGATGAGTTCCTGGAGACACCAGGGATGGAGCAAAGTTGGGGTTTTCCATGGAAAGTTTGGATTTGGGGCTGGTTACGAGATTTTGGGGAGCAAATCTTGGGTTTTGAAGGATCTGGGTGAGTTCCTGGGGTCTGGAATTGTCCTTGGAGGATCTGAACGGGTTCCTGGGGACTCTGCGTGTGTCCCTGGGGTTCTGCTGCCGCGGAGTCACGGAACCATTCCCTGATTCCAACGGGATTTTGGCAATCCCGGGGCCGTTCCCAAGTGGAAAAGCTCCGAAATCCCAAATCTTGGGGATTTTTGGGGTTTTTTTCCAGGCCTACAACGCCAAAACCAAAAGTTTTGAGGATCCTCCCAACCACGCCCGGAGCGCCGGGAACAAAGGGAAGGGGAAGGGGAAAGGGAAAGGTGAGGCGGGAAAAGGTGGAAAAGGGCTGGAAAAAGGGTGGAAAATGGGGTGGAAAAGGGCTGGAAAAAGGGTGGAAAATGGGGTGGAAAAGGGCTGGAAAAAGGGTGGAAAATGGGCTGGAAAAAGGGTGGAAAAGGGCTGGAAAAAGGGTGGAAAATGGGGTGAAAAGGGCTGGAAAAAGGGTGGAAAAAAGGGTGGAAAAGGGCTGGAAAAAGGGTGGAAAATGGGGTGGAAAATGGGGTGGAAAAGGGCTGGAAAAAGGGTGGAAAATGGGGTGGAAAATGGGGTGGAAAAGGGCTGGAAAAAGGGTGGAAAATGGGGTGGAAAAGGTCTGGAAAAAGGGTGGAAAATGGGGTGGAAAAAAAGGTGGAAAAGGGCTGGAAAAAGGGTAGAAAATGGGGTGGAAAAGGGCTGGAAAAAGGGTGGAAAATGAGGTGGAAAATGGGGTGAAAAGGGTGGAAAAAGGGTGGAAAATGGGGTGGAAAATGGGGTGGAAAAAGGGTGGAAAATGGGGTGGAAAAGGGCTGGAAAAAGGGTGGAAAATGGGGTGAAAAGGGCTGGAAAAAGGGTGGAAAATGGGGTGGAAAATGGGGTGGAAAAAGGGTGGAAAATGGGGTGAAAAAGGCTGGAAAAAGGATGGAAAATGGGGTGGAAAATGGGGTGAAAAGGGCTGGAAAAAGGGTGGAAAATGGGGTGGAAAAGGTCTGGAAAAAGGGTGGAAAATGGGGTGGAAAAGGGCTGGAAAAAGGGTGGAAAATGGGGTGGAAAAGGGCTGGAAAAAAGGTGGAAAATGGGGTGAAAAGGGTGGAAAAAGGGTGGAAAATGGGGTGAAAACGGCTGGAAAAAGGGTGGAAAATGGGGTGAAAAAAAGGGTGGAAAAGGGCTGGAAAAAGGGTGGAAAATGGGGTGAAAAGGGCTGGAAAAAGGGTGGAAAATGGGGTGGAAAAGGTCTGGAAAAAGGGCGGAAAATGGGGTGGAAAAGGGCTGGAAAAAGGGTGGAAAATGGGGTGGAAAAGGGCTGGAAAAAGGGTGGAAAAGGGCTGGAAAAAGGGTGGAAAATGGGGTGGAAAAAAGGGTGGAAAATGGGGTGAAAAAGGGCTGGAAAATGGGGTGGAAAAGGGCTGGAAAAAGGGTGGAAAATGGGGTGAAAAAAAGGGTGGAAAAGGGCTGGAAAAAGGGTGGAAAATGGGGTGAAAAGGGCTGGAAAAAGGGTGGAAAATGGGGTGGAAAAGGGCTGGAAAAAGGGTGGAAAATGGGGTGGAAAAGGGCTGCAAAAAGGGTGGAAAATGGGGTGGAAAAGGGCTGCAAAAAGGGTGGAAAATGGGGTGAAAAGTAGGTGGAAAATGGGTAGAAAAAGGTGGGAAAGGGATGGGAAAAGGGGCAGGGAAGGGTGGGAAAAAAAGCAGGAAAAAGGGCAGAAAAAAGGGTGGAAAAGGGGTGGAAATGGGTGGAAAGGGATGGAAAATGGGGTGGAAAGTAGGTGGAAAATGGGTAGAAAAAGGGTGGGAAAAGGAGCAGAAAAAGGGATGGAAAAGGGGGCAGGAAAGGATGGGAAAAGACAGGAAAAAGGGCAGAAAAAAGGGTGGAAAAGGGGCTGAAAATGGGGCAGAAAATGGGTAAAAAAGGGGCAGAAAATGGGTAAAGAAGGTCAGAAAATGGGGGTAAAAAAGGGCAGAAAATGGGTAAAAAAGGGCAGAAAATGGGTAAAAAAGGGGTGGAAAATGGGTAAAGAAGGGCAGAAAATGGGGGTAAAAAAGGGCGGAAAATGGGTAAAAAAAGGGGTGGAAAATGGGTAAAAAGGGGTGGAAAATGGGTAAAAAGGGGTGGAAAATGGGTAAAAAAAGGGCAGAAAATGGGGGTAAAAAAGGGCGGAAAATGGGTAAAAAAGGGGTGGAAAATTGTTAAAAAAAGGGCAGAAAATGCGTAAAAAAGGGGTGGAAAATGGGTAAAAAGTCAGAAAATGGGTAAAAAAGGGGTGGAAAATGGGTAAAAAAGGGGTGGAAAATGGGTAAAAAAAGGGCAGAAAATGGGTAAAAAGGGGCGGGAAATGGGTAAAAAAAGGATGGAAAATGGGTAAAAAGGGGTGGAAAATGGGTAAAGAAGGGCAGAAAATGGGTAAAAAAGGGCGGAAAATGGGTAAAGAAGGGCAGAAAATGGGGGTAAGAAAGGGCAGAAAATGGGTAAAAAAGGGCAGAAAATGGGTAAAAAAGGGGTGGAAAATGGGTAAAAAGGGGTGGAAAATGGGTAAATAAGGGCAGAAAATGGGGGTAAAAAAGGGCGGAAAATGGGTAAAAAAGGGGCGGAAAATGGGTAAAGAAGGGCAGAAAATGGGTAAAGAAGGTCAGAAAATGGGTAAAAAAGGATGGAAAATGGGTAAAAAGGGGCGGAAAATGGGTAAAAAGGTGTGGAAAATGGGTAAAGAAGGGAAGAAAATGGGGGTAAAAAAGGGCGGAAAATGGGGGTAAAAAAGGGCGGAAAATGGGTAAAAAAGGGGTGGAAAATGGGTAAAAAGGGGTGGAAAATGGGGCAGAAAATGAGTAAAAAAGGGGTGGAAAATGGGTAAAAAGGGGTGGAAAATGGGTAAAGAAGGGCAGAAAATTGGTGAAAAAAGGGCAGAAAGTGGATAAAAAAGGGTTCCAAAAGGGTCTGGGAGGTGCTGGCTTGGCAGAGGCAGGAGGAGGAGGAGGAGCAGGGCAGGAGGAGGAGGAGGAGCAGGGCAGGAGGAGGAGGAAGGGCAGGGCAGCAGGAGGAGGAGGAGCAGGGCAGGAGGAGGAGGAAGGGCAGGGCAGGAGGAGGAGGAGGAGCAGGGCAGGAGGAGGAGGAGGAGGAGGAGCAGGGCAGGAGGAGGAGGAGCAGGGCAGGAGGAGGAGGAAGGGCGGGCACTGAGCCGGGCTGGCAGAGGCAGCAGGAGGAGGAGGAGGAGGAGCAGGGCAGCAGGAGGAGGAAGGGCAGGGCAGGAGGAGGAGGAGGAGCAGGGCAGGAGGAGGAGGAGGAGCAGGGCAGGAGGAGGAGGAGCAGGGCAGGAGGAGGAGGAAGGGCAGGGCAGCAGGAGGATGAGGAGCAGGGCAGGAGGAGGAGGAGGAAGGCCGGGCACTGAGCCGGGCTGGCAGAGGCAGCAGGAGGATGAGGAGCAGGGCAGCAGGAGGAGGAGGAGGAAGGGCAGGGCAGGAGGAGGAGGAGCAGGGCGGGAGGAGGAGGAAGGGCGGGCACTGAGCCGTGCTGGCAGAGGCAGGAGGAGGAGGAGGAGCAGGGCAGCAGGAGGAGGAAGGCCGGGCACTGAGCCCTCCTGGCGCTTTGGCAGGGAAGGGCAAAGGGAAGGCGGCGGGCGCGGAGCAGAGCGAGCAGGAGCCGGCCCAGCTGCAGGTGCCCAAGCTGAGGACGCTGGACGTGTTCTCCGGCTGTGGGGGCCTCTCCGAGGGCTTCCACCAGGCAGGTGAGGTCCAGCTGCTGGAAGGAGCCTTGGAAGGGCCGTGGGAGTCGGCAAAATCGGCTGGAGGTTGGCAGTGCCCGGCCCTGGATGTGCCCACCCGGCTCTGGTCATTCCCAGTGTCCAGTCCTGAGCATTCCCAGTGCCCAGTCCTGACCATTCCCAGTGTCCAGTCCAGACCATTCCCACCCGGCTCTGACCATTCCCAGTGTCCATCCCTGACCATTCCCAGTGTCCATCCCTGACCATTCCCAGTGTCCATCCCTGACCATTCCCAGTGCCCGTCACTGACCATTCCCAGTGTCCAGCTCTGGTCATTCCCAGTGTCCATCCCTGACCATTCCCAGTGTCCAGCCCTGACCATTCCCACCCATCCCTGACCATTCCCAGTGCCCATTCCCAGTCCCCATTCCCAGTGCCCATTCCCAGTGCCCATTCCCAGTTCCCATTCCCAGTGCCCATTCCCAGTTCCCATTCCCAGTGCCCATTCCCAGTGCCCATTCCCAGTTCCCATTCCCAGTGCCCATTCCCAGTGCCCATTCCCAGTGCCCATTCCCAGTTCCCATTCCCAGTGCCCATTCCCAGTGCCCACTCCCAGTCCCCATTCCCAGTGCCCATTCCCAGTGCCCATTCCCAGTGCCCATTCCCAGTCCCCATTCCCAGTCCCCATTCCCAGTTCCCATTCCCAGTGCCCATCCCTGACCATTCCCAGTTCCCATTCCCAGTGCCCATTCCCAGTGCCCATTCCCAGTGCCCATTCCCAGTGCCCATTCCCAGTGCCCATCCCTGACCATTCCCAGTTCCCATTCCCAGTGCCCATTCCCAGTGCCCATTCCCAGTGCCCATTCCCAGTGCCCATTCCCATTCCCAGTGCCCATTCCCAGTTCCCATTCCCAGTGCCCATTCCCAGTTCCCATTCCCATTCCCAGTGCCCATTCCCAGTTCCCATTCCCAGTGCCCATTCCCAGTTCCCATTCCCAGTTCCCAGTGCCCATTCCCAGTGCCCATTCCCAGTCCCCATTCCCAGTTCCCATTCCCAGTGCCCATTCCCAGTCCCCATTCCCAGTGCCCATTCCCAGTTCCCATCCCGCAGGGGTCTCGGAGACGCTCTGGGCCGTGGAGATGTGGGAGCCGGCGGCGCAGGCGTTCCCAGTGCCCATCCCTGACCATTCCCAGTGCCCATTCCCAGTCCCCATTCCCAGTGCCCATTCCCAGTTCCCATTCCCAGTTCCCATTCCCAGTTCCCAGTGCCCATTCCCATTCCCAGTGCCCATTCCCAGTCCCATCCCGCAGGGGTCTCGGAGACGCTCTGGGCCGTGGAGATGTGGGAGCCGGCGGCGCAGGCGTTCCCAGTGCCCATTCCCAGTGCCCATTCCCAGTGCCCATTCCCAGTGCCCATCCCTGCCCATTCCCAGTGCCCATTCCCAGTTCCCATTCCCAGTTCCCATTCCCAGTTCCCATTCCCAGTGCCCATTCCCAGTCCTATTTCCCAGTGCCCATTCCCAGTGCCCATTCCCAGTGCCCATTCCCAGTGCCCATTCCCAGTTCCCATTCCCAGTGCCCATTCCCAGTGCCCATTCCCAGTGCCCATTCCCAGTCCCCATTCCCATTCCCAGTTCCCATTCCCAGTTCCCATTCCCAGTGCCCATTCCCAGTGCCCATTCCCAGTGCCCATTCCCAGTGCCCATTCCCAGTTCCCATTCCCAGTTCCCATTCCCAGTGCCCGTTCCGCAGGGGTCTCGGAGACGCTCTGGGCCGTGGAGATGTGGGAGCCGGCGGCGCAGGCGTTCCCAGTGCCCATTCCCAGTTCCCATTCCCAGTTCCCATTCCCAGTCCCCATTCCCTGTGCCCATTCCCAGTTCCCATTCCCAGTTCCCATTCCTAGTGCCCATTCCCAGTGCCCATTCCCAGTTCCCATTCCCAGTCCCCATTCCCAGTGCCCATTCCCAGTTCCCATTCCCAGTGCCCATTCCCAGTGCCCATTCCCAGTGCCCCTTCCCAGTGCCCCTTCCCAGTGCCCATCCCTGCCCATTCCCAGTGCCCATTCCCATTCCCAGTTCCCATTCCCAGTTCCCATTCCCAGTTCCCATTCCCAGTGCCCCTTCCCAGTGCCCCTTCCCAGTGCCCATCCCTGCCCATTCCCAGTGCCCATTCCCATTCCCAGTTCCCAGTGCCCATTCCCATTCCCAGTTCCCAGTTCCCATTCCCAGTTCCCATTCCCAGTTCCCATCCCGCAGGGGTCTCGGAGACGCTCTGGGCCGTGGAGATGTGGGAGCCGGCGGCGCAGGCGTTCCCAGTGCCCATTCCCAGTTCCCAGTGCCCATTCCCAGTGCCCATTCCCAGTGCCCATTCCCAGTTTCCAGTGCCCATTCCCAGTGCCCATTCCCAGTTCCCATTCCCAGTTCCCATCCCGCAGGGGTCTCGGAGACGCTCTGGGCCGTGGAGATGTGGGAGCCGGCGGCGCAGGCGTTCCCAGTGCCCATTCCCAGTTCCCATTCCCAGTGCCCATTCCCAGTCCCCATTCCCAGTTCCCAGTTCCCATTCCCAGTTCCCATCCCGCAGGGGTCTCGGAGACGCTCTGGGCCGTGGAGATGTGGGAGCCGGCGGCGCAGGCGTTCCCAGTTCCCATTCCCAGTTCCCAGTGCCCATTCCCAGTCCCCATTCCCAGTGTCCATTCCCAGTGCCCATTCCCAGTTCCCATTCCCAATTCCCAGTTCCCATCCCGCAGGGGTCTCGGAGACGCTCTGGGCCGTGGAGATGTGGGAGCCGGCGGCGCAGGCGTTCCGGCTCAACAACCCCGGCACCACCGTGTTCACCGAGGACTGCAACGTGCTCCTCAAGCTGGTCATGGCGGGCGAGAAGACCAACTCGCTGGGCCAGAAGCTGCCCCAGAAGGGCGACGTGGAGATGCTCTGTGGTGGCCCCCCGTGCCAGGGCTTCAGCGGCATGAACCGCTTCAACTCCCGCACCTACTCCAAGTTCAAGAACTCCCTGGTGGTCTCCTTCCTCAGGTGGGTGTGGAGGGGACTTCTGGGAGGTGGGACCCCACCTGATGTCCCCTCGTGGGTGTGGAGGGGATTTTTGGGAGGTGGGACCCCACCTGGTGTCTCCCTTGGTGGGGTTGGAGGGGACTTCTGGGAGGTGGGACCCCACCTGGTGTCCCCTTGTGGGTGTGGAGGGGTTTTTTTTGGGGTGAGGAAGGAGATTTTTGGGGTGAGAACCCACCTGGTGTCCCCTCGTGGGGTTGGAGGGGATTTTTGGGAGGTGAGACCCCACCTGATGTCCCCTGGTGGGTGTGGAGGGGATTTTTGGGGTGAGGGAGGAGATTTTTGGGGTGAGAACCCCTCTGGTCTCCCCTGGTGGGTGTGGAGGGGATTTTTGGGGTGAGGGAGGAGATTTTTGGGGGAAGACTCCATCTGGTGTCCTCTGGTGGGTGTGGAGGAGGTTTTTGGGGTGGTGGAGGGGATTTTTGGGGTGAGACCCTATGCAGTGTCCCCTCGTGGGTGTAGAGGGGATTTTTGGGAGGTGAGACCCCACCTGATGTCCCCTCGTGAGTGTGGAGGGGATTTTTGGGGTGAGAACCCCACCTGGTGTCCCCTCATGGGGTTGGAGGGGAATTTGGGAGGTGAGACCCTATCTGGTGTCCCCTGGTGGGTGTGGAGGGGATTTTTGGGGTGAGAACCCCACCTGATGTCCCCTTGGTGGGGTTGGAGGGGATTTTTGGGAGGTGGGACCCCACCTGATGTCCCCTGGTGGGTGTGGAGGGGATTTTTGGGGTGAGGGAGGAGATTTTTGGGGGAAGTCTCCATCCAGTGTCCTCTGGTGGGTGTGGAGGTGGTTTTTGGGGTGGTGGAGGGGATTTTTGGGGTGAGAACCCCTCTGGTCTCCCCTCGTGGGGTTGGAGGGGATTTTTGGGAGGTGAGACCCCACCTGGTGTCCCCTCGTGGGGTTGGAGGGGATTTTTGGGAGGTGAGACCCCACCTGATGTCCCCTCGTGGGGTTGGAGGGGATTTTTGGGAGGTGAGATGCCACCTGATGTCCCCTGGTGGGTGTGGAGGGGATTTTTGAGGTGAGACCCCCACCTGATGTCCCCTGGTGGGTGTGGAGGGGATTTTTTGGGATGTTGGAGAGGATTGTTGGGGTGAGATCCCATCTGGTGTCCCCTGGTGGGTGTGGAGAGGATTTTTTGGGATGTTGGAGAGGATTTTTGGGGTGAGATCCCATCTGGTGTCCCTTGGTGGGATTGGAGGGGATTTTTGGGGTCAGACCCCATCCTGGTGTCCCTCGTAAGTCTGGAGGGGATTTTTTGGGTTAAGGTCTTGCCCAGTGTGCCCTGGTGGGTGTGGAGAGGATTTTTTCGGATGTTGGAGAGGATTTTTGGGGTGAGACCCCATCCGGTGTCCCCTGGTGGGTGTGGAGAGGATTTTTTGGGATGTTGGAGAGGATTTTTGGGGTCAGACCCCACACGGTGTCCCCTGGTGGGTGTGGAGGTGGTTTTTGGGGTGAGGGAGAGGATTTTTGGGAGGTGAGACCCCACCCGGTGTCCCCTGGTGGGTGTGGAGGGGATTTTTTGGGATGTTGGAGAGGATTTTTGGGGTGTGACCCCATCCGGTGTCCCCTGGTGGGTGTGGAGGGGATTTTTTGGGTTAAGGTCTTGTCCAGTGTGCCCTGGTAGGTGTGGAGAGGATTTTTTGGGATGTTGGAGAGGATTTTTGGGGTGAGACCCCACCTGATGTCCTCTGGTGGGTGTGGAGAGGATTTTTTGGGATGTTGGAGAGGATTTTTGAGGTGAGAACCCCTCTGGTGTCCCCTCGTGGGGTTGGAGGGGATTTTGGGGTCATACCCCATCCTGGTGTCCCTCGTAAGTCTGGAGGGGATTTTTTGGGTTAAGGTCTTGCCCAGTGTGCCCTGGTGGGTGTGGAGGGGATTTTTTGGGATCTTGGAGAGGATTTTTGGGGTGAGACCCCATCCTGGTGTCCCCTGGTGGGTGTGGAGAGGATTTTTTGGGGTGGTGGAGGGGATTTTTGGGGTGAGAACCCCTCTGGTTTCCCCTCGTGGGTGTGGAGAGGATTTTTGGGGTGAGGGAGGAGATTTTTGGGGTGAGAACCCCACCTGGTGTCTCCCTTGGTGGGGTTGGAGGGGATTTTTGGGAGGTGAGACCCCACCTGATGTCCCCTGGTGGGGTTGGAGGGGATTTTTGGGGTGAGATCCCATCTGGTGTCTCTTGGTGGGTGTGGAGAGGATTTTTTGGGATGTTGGAGAGGATTTTTGGGGTCAGACCCCACCCGGTGTCCCCTGGTGGGTGTGGAGGTGGTTTTTGGGATGTTGGAGAGGATTTTTGGGGTCAGACCCCACCCGGTGTCCCCTGGTGGGTGTGGAGAGGATTTTTTGGGATGTTGGAGAGGATTTTTGGGGTCAGACCCCACCCGGTGTCCCCTGGCCACGCCGCTGTCCCCGCAGTTACTGCGATTATTACCGGCCGCGCTTCTTCCTGCTGGAGAACGTCCGGAATTTCGTGTCCTTCAAGAGGTCCATGGTGCTGAAGCTGACCCTGCGCTGCCTGGTGCGCATGGGCTACCAGTGCACCTTCGGGGTGCTCCAGGTGGGCTCTCCAGGGCTGCTTTTGGGGCGAAAAAACCCTTTTTTGGCACCCCAAGAAATGGTGGTGGTGTCGCTCCTTGGGGATGTTCCCAAAGGAGCTGTGGGTTGGGAATTGGCCCATTCCCAGTTGGTTCTTCAAAGGGGGAATTGTCCCCTCGGGTGGCTCTGGGGACATTCCCAGTGGGGACAGGTTCTCCAAAGGGGTAATTGACTCCTTGGGTGGCTCTGGGGACATTCCCAGTGGGGACAGGTTCTCCAAAAGGGAATTGTCCCCTCGGGTGGCTCTGGGGACATTCCCAGAGGGGACAGGTTCTCCAAAAGGGAATTGTCCCCTCGGGTGGCTCTGGGGACATTCCCAGTGGGGACAGGTTCTCCAAAAGGGAATTGTCCCCTCGGGTGGCTCTGGGGACATTCCCAGAGGGGACAGGTTCTCCAAAGGGGGGAATTGTCCCCTTGGGTGGCTCTGGGGACATTCCCAGTGGGGACAGGTTCTCCAAAGGGGGAATTGTCCCCTCGGGTGGCTCTGGGGACATTCCCAGTGGGGACAGGTTCTCCAAAGGGGGAATTGTCCCCTCGGGTGGCTCTGGGGACATTCCCACCCTCATCCCTCAGGAATTGTCCCCTCCAGAGGAGGAATTGTCCCCTGGGGTGGCTTTGGGGACATTCCCACCCTCATCCTCAGGAGTTGTCCCCTCCAGAGGAGGAATTGTCCCCTGGGGTATCTCTGGGGCCATTCCCACCCCGTCCCTCAGGTGTTGGTGTGTCCCTGGGGTGTCCCTCGGGTGGGGGTGTGTCCCCTGGGGTGTGTCCCCGGGGTGTCCGTGTGTCCCCGGGGTTTGTCCCTGGGGTGTGTCCCCGGGGTGTCCCTCAGGTGGGGGTGGGTCCCTGGGGTGTGTCCCCGGGGTGTCCGTGTGTCCGTGCCCGGCTCGGTGTGTCCCTGGGGTGTGTCCCTGGTGTGTGTCCCCTGGGTGTCCGTGTGTCCCCGGGGTGTGTCCGTGCCCGGCTCGGTGTGTCCCCGGGGTGCCCGTGTGTCTGTCCCCGGGGTGTCGGTGTGTCCCAGCGCGCTGTCCCCGCAGGCGGGGCAGTACGGCGTGGCGCAGACGCGGCGCCGTGCCATCGTGCTGGCGGCGGCGCCGGGCGAGCAGCTGCCCATGTTCCCCGAGCCCCTGCACGTCTTCGCCCCCCGCGCCTGCCAGCTCAGCGTCGTGGTGGACGACAAGAAGTTCGTCAGCAACATCACCCGGTGAGAGCCCGGAACGCCCGGAATTCCGGCCGGGAATTCCGCCCTGGCGGTTCGGCACCCGGGGATGCCGGTTTGGCAGTTCCCAGTTGGGAATTCGGCACTCGGGGATTCCGGTTTGGGAATTCGGCACTCGGGGATTCCGGTTTGGCAATTCTGAGTTGGGAATTCGGCACTCGGGGATTCCGGTTTGGGAATTCGGCACTCAGGGATTCCGGTTTGGCAGTTCCGAGTTGGGAATTCGGTGTTGGGGATTCCGGTTTGGGAATTCGGTGTTGGGAATTCCGGTTTGGGAATTCAGCACTCGGGGATTCTGGTTTGGCAGTTCCGAGTTGGGAATTCGGTGTTGGGGATTCCGGTTTGGCAGTTCCGAGTTGGCAATTTGGCACTCGGGGATTCCAGTTTGGGAATTCAGCATTTGGGGATTCCAGTTTGGGAATTCGGCACTCGGGGATTCCGGTTTGGGAATTCGGCACTCGGGGATTCCGGTTTGGCAGTTCCGAGTTGGGAATTCGTCACTCAGGGATTTCGGTTTGGGAATTCAGAGTTGGGAATTCGGTGTTGGGAATTCTGGTTTGGCAGTTCCGAGTTGGGAATTCGGCACTCGGGGATTCCGGTTTGGGAATTCGGCACTCGGGGATTCCGGTTTGGGAATTCGGCACTCGGGAATTCCGGTTTGGCAGTTCCGAGTTGGGAATTCGGCACTCGGGGATTTCGGTTTGGCAGTTCCGAGTTGGGAATTCAGTGTTGGGAATTCCGGTTTGGGAATTCGGCACTCAGGGATTCCAGTTGGGGAATTCGGCACTCGGGGATTCCGGTTTGGGAATTCGGCACTCGGGGATTCCGGTTGGGGAATTCGGCACCCGGGGATTCCGGTTTGGGAATTCAGTGTTGGAAATTCCGGTTTGGGCATTCGGCACTCGGGAATTCCGGTTGGGGAATTCGGCACTCGGGGATTCCAGTTTGGGAATTCGGCACTCGGGGATTCTGGTTTGGGAATTCGGCATTTGGGGATTCCGGTTGGGGAATTCAGTGTTGGGAATTCCAGTTTGGCAGTTCGGCACTTGGAGATTCTGGTTTGAGAATTCGAGTTGGGAATTCGGTGTTGGGAATTTGGCACTTGGGAATTGGGAGTTGGGAATTCCGAGTTGGGAATTCCGAGTTGGGAGTTCCGAGTTGGGAATTCCATGTTGGGAATTCCGCATTGGGAATTTTGAGTTGGGAGTTCCAAGTTGAGAATTCGAGTTGGGAATTCCATGTTGGGAATTCTGAATTGGGAGTTCCGAGTTGGGAATTCCAAGTTGGGAATTCCATGTTGGGAATGGTGAGTTGGGAGTTCCGAGTTGGGAATTCCGAGTTGGGAATTGGGAGTTGGGAATTCTGAGTTGGGAGTTCCGCGATGGGAATTCCATGTTGGGAATGGTGAGTTGGGAATTCGAGTTGGGAGTTCCGAGTTGGGAATTCCAAGTTGGGAGTTTGGCGTTGGGAGTTCCGCGTTGGGAATTCCATGTTGGGAATGGTGAGTTGGGAATTCGAGTTGGGAGTTCCGAGTTGGGAATTCGAGTTGGGAATTCGAGTTGGGAGTTTTGCGTTGGGAATTCCATGTTGGGAATGGTGAGTTGGGAATTGGGAGTTGGGAATTCTGAATTGGGAGTTCCAAGTTGGGAGTTCAGCGTTGGGAGTTCCGCGTTGGGAATTCCATGTTGGGAATGGTGAGTTGGGAATTCCATGTTGGGAGTTCCGCATTGGGAGTTCAGCGTTGGGAGTTCCAAGTTGGGAATTGGGAGTTGGGAATTCTGAGTTGGGAGTTCCGCGTTGGGAATTCCATGTTGGGAATTCGAGTTGGGAGTTCCGAGTTGGGAGTTCTGAGTTGGGAGTTCCAAGTTGGGAATTGGGAGTTGGGAATTCTGAGTTGGGAATTCCAAGTTGGGAGTTCCAAGTTGGGAGTTCCGAGTTGGGAATTCCAAGTTGGGAGTTCAGCATTGGGAGTTTTGCGTTGGGAATTCCATGTTGGGAATGGTGAGTTGGGAGTTCCGAGTTGAGAATTCGAATTGGGAGTTCCAAGTTGGGAATTCGAGTTGGGAATTCCAAGTTGGGAATTCCGAGTTGGGAATTGGGAGTTGGGAGTTCCGCGTTGGGAATTCTGAGTTGGGAATTCTGAGTTGGGAACTGGGAGTTGGGAATTTTGAATTGGGAGTTCCAAGTTGGGAGTTCAGCGTTGGGAATTCCGAGTTGGAAATTCCGCATTGGGAATTCTGAGTTGGGAGTTCCAAGTTGGGAATTCCAAGTTGGGAGTTCCGAGTTGGGAATTCCGCATTGGGAATTCCGAGTTGGGAGTTCCAAGTTGGGAGTTCCGTGTTGGGAATTCCATGTTGGGAATGGTGAGTTGGGAGTTCCGAGTTGGGAGTTCTGAGTTGGGAGTTCCAAGTTGGGAATTCCATGTTGGGAGTTCTGAGTTGGGAGTTCCGAGTTGGGAATTCGAGTTGGGAATTCTGAGTTGGGAGTTCAGCGTTGGGAGTTCCGAGTTGGGAATTCCGAGTTGGGAATTCTGAGTTGGGAGTTCTGAGTTGGGAGCTCCGCGTTGGGAATTCCACATTGGGAATGGTGAGTTGGGAGTTCCCGAGTTGGGAGTTCCGAGTTGGGAATTCGCGTTGGGAATTCTGAGTTGGGAATTCCACGTTGGGAATGGTGAGTTGGGAGTTCCGAGTTGGGAGTTCCGAGTTGGGAGTTCCGAGTTGGGAGTTCCGAGTTGGGAATTCGAGTTGGGAGTTCCGAGTTGGGAGTTCCAGTTGGGAATTCGCGTTGGGAATTCCGTGCCCCGCAGGACGTACTCGGGCCCGTTCCGCACCATCACGGTGCGGGACACGATGTCGGACCTGCCGGAGATCCGGAACGGCGCCGCGGCGCTGGAGATCTCCTACAACGGCGAGCCCCAGTCGTGGTTCCAGCGCCAGATCCGCGGCTCCCAGTACCAGCCCATCCTCAGGGATCACATCTGCAAGGTGGGAACGGCGCTCCCGGAGTGCCAAAACCGGGATGGGGGAGCTGCTGGGAACCGCTGGGAATGGCGGATTTGGGAATGGGGGATTTGGGAATGGTGGATTTGGGAATGGTGGGGATTTTGGGAATGGTGGGGATTTTGGGAATGGTGGATTTGGGAATGCTGGATTTGGGAATGGTGAAGGTGCTGGGAATGGTGGATTTGGGAATGGTGGAGGTGTTGGGAATGGTGGATTTGGGAATGGTGGATTTGGGAATGGTGGATTTGGGAATGGTGGATTTGGGAATGGCGGATTTGGGAATGGTGGAGGTGCTGGGAATGGTGGAGATTTTGGGAATGGTGGAGATGTTGGGAATGGTGAAGGTGCTGGGAATGGTGGAGGCGTTGGGAATGGTGGATTTGGGAATGGTGGAGGTGCTGGGAACGGTGGGGATTTTGGGAACTGGTGGAGATACTGCGAATGGTGGAGATTTCGGGAATGGTGGAAGTGCTGGGAATGGTGGGTGTCTTGGGAATGGTGGATTTGGGAATGGTGGATTTGGGAATGGTGGATTTGGGAATGGTGGATTTGGGAATGGTGGAGGTGTTGGGAATGGAGATTTTGGGAATGGTGGATTTGGGAATGGTGGAAGTGTTAGGAATGGTGGGTGTCTTGGGAATGGTGGATTTGGGAATGGTGGATTTGGGAATGGTGGAAGTGTTGGGAATGGCGGAGGCGTTGGGAATGGTGGTTTTGGGAATGGTGGGGATTTTGGGAATGGTGGATTTGGGAATGGTGGGGATTTTGGGAATGGTGGATTTGGGAATGGTGGAGGTGCTGGGAATGGTGGAGGCATTGGGAATGGTGGATTTGGGAATGGTGGATTTGGGAATGGTGGAGAATTTGGGAATGGTGGATTTGGGAATGGTGGAGGTGCTGGGAATGGTGGATTTGGGAATGCTGGATTTGGGAATGGTGGATTTGGGAATGGTGGTTTTGGTAATGGTGGGGATTTTGGGAATGGTGGATTTGGCAATGGTGGATTTGGGAATGGTGGATTTGGGAATGCTGGATTTGGGAATGCTGGATTTGGGAATGGTGGGGATTTTGGGAATGGTGGATTTGGGAATGCTGGATTTGGGAATGGTGGGGATTTTGGGAATGGTGGATTTGGGAATGCTGGATTTGGGAATGGTGGATGTGTTGGGAATGGTGGAGATTTTGGGAATGGTGGATTTGGGAATGGTGGATTTGGGAATGGTGGATTTGGGAATGCTGGATTTGGGAATGGTGGATGTGTTGGGAATGGTGGATTTGGGAATGGTGGTTTTGGTAATGGTGGATTTGGGAATGGTGGATTTGGGAATGGTGCAGGCATTGGGAATGGTGGATTTGGGAATGGTGGATTTGGGAATGCTGGATTTGGGAATGGTGGAGGCGTTGGGAATGGAGATTTTGTGAATGGTGGATTTGGGAATGCTGGATTTGGGAATGGTGGAGGCGTTGGGAACGGTGGTTTCGGTAACGGTGGGGGTTTTGGGAATGGTGGTTTTGGGAATGGTGGATTTGGGAATGGTGGTTTTGGGAATGGTGGAGATTTTGGGAATGGTGGATTTGGGAATGGTGGGTGTCTTGGGAATGGTGGGGATTTTGGGAATGCTGGATTTGGGAATGCTGGATTTGGGAATGCTGGATTTGGGACTGGTGGGGATTTTGGGAATGGTGGATTTGGGAATGGTGAAGGTGTTGGGAATGGTGGAGGTGCTGGGAATGGTGGAGATTTTGGGAATGGTGGAGATGTTGGGAATGGTGGAAGTGCTGGGAATGGTGGGTGTCTTGGGAATGGTGGATTTGGGAATGCTGGTGCTGGGAATGGTGGATTTGGGAATGGTGGATTTGGGAATGCTGGTGCTGGGAATGGTGGAGGCATTGGGAATGGTGGATTTGGTAATGGTGGATTTGGGACTGGTGGATTTGGGAATGGTGAATTTGGGAATGGCGGAGGTGTTGGGAATGGTGGAGGCATTGGGAATGGCGGAGGTGTTGGAAATGCTGGATTTGGGAATGCTGGATTTGGGAATGCTGGATTTGGGAATGCTGGATTTGGGAACGGTGAAGATGTTGGGAATGCTGGATTTGGGAATGCTGGATTTGGGAATGGTGGATTTGGGACTGGTGGACATCTTGGGCCCTGTTGGCGGTGCCAATGTCGCCGGGCGGTGCCCAACGCCCCCGTTGTCGCCGGGCCGGCCGCGCAGGACATGAGCGCGCTGGTGGCGGCGCGGATGCGGCACATCCCGCTGGCGCCCGGCTCCGACTGGCGGGACCTGCCCAACATCGAGGTGCGGCTCTCCGACGGCACCACCACCCGCAAGCTGCGCTACACCCACCACGAGCGCAAGAACGGCCGCAGCAGCTCCGGCGCCCTGCGCGGCGTCTGCTCCTGCGCCGAAGGTGGGTGGTGGACCTCCATAAACACGTCCCCGGCCGGGCGGGCGGCGCCGTTCTCCCGAAATTCCCGTTTTTTTGGTGTTTTTTGGGGTTTTTTTGGCGTTTCCCAGGGAAGCCGTGCGACCCGGCCGACCGGCAGTTCAACACCCTCATCCCGTGGTGCCTCCCGCACACCGGCAACCGGCACAACCACTGGGCCGGGCTCTACGGGCGCCTGGAGTGGGACGGCTTCTTCAGCACCACCGTCACCAACCCCGAGCCCATGGGCAAGCAGGTGAGGGCGTCCGTGGGGGTGACCGGTGGCCACCACGTCCCAGCCTTGGATGGTGGCCAACGGTCATCGTTGTCCCAACAGTTGGGCGGGTTGCTTGGTGGTGACCAATGGCCATCGTGTACCAATGGTTGGGTTTGATGGTTTCCAATGGCCACCACAGTGGGTGTGGTGGTCTCTGGTGGCCACCATGTTGGGTGTGGTGGTCTCCATTGTCCACCATGTTGGGTGTGATGGTTTCTAGTTGCCACCATGTTGGGTGTGGTGGTCTCCAATGTCCACCATGTTGGGTGTGGTGGTCTCCAATGTCCACCATGTTGGGTGTGGTGGTCTCCAATGTCCATCTTGTTGGGTGGGATGGTCTCCGGTGGCCACCATGTTGGGTGTGGTGGTCTCCATTGTCCACCATGTTGGGTGTGGTGGTTTCTAGTGGCCACCATGTTGGGTGTGGTGGTCTCCGTTGGCCACCATGTTGGGTGTGGTGGTTTCTAGTGGCCACCATGTTGGGTGTGGTGGTCTCCAATGTCCACCATGTTGGGTGTGATGGTCTCCGGTGGCCACCATGTTGGGTGTGGTGGTCTCCAGTGGCCACCATGTTGGGTGGGATGGTCTCCAATGTCCACCATGTTGGGTGGGATGGTCTCCAATGTCCACCATGTTGGGTGTGGTGGTCTCTGGTGGCCACCATGTTGGGTGTGGTGGTCAGTGGTGGCCACCATGTTGGGTGTGGTGGTCTCCAGTGGCCACCATGTTGCGTGTGGTGGTCTCCAATGTCCACCATGTTGGGTGTGGTGGTTTCTAGTGGCCACCACAGTGGGTGTGAGGGTCTCTGGTGGCCACCATGTTGGGTGTGGTGGTCGCCGGTGGCCACCACGTTGGGTGTGGTGGTCTCCGGTGGCCAGCACGTTGGTGTGGTGGTCTCCAATGTCCACCATGTTGGGTGTGGTGGTCTCTATTGGCCACCACGTTGGGTGTGGTGGTCTCCGGTGTCCACCACGTTGGTGTGGCTGTCAGTGGTGGCCAGCACGTTGGTGTGGTGGTCAGTGGTGTCCACCACGTTGGTGTGGTGGTCTCCAATGTCCACCACGTTGGTGTGATGGTCTCCAATGTCCATCACGTTGGTGTGGTGGTCGGTGGTGGCCAGCACGTTGGTGTGGTGGTCGGTGGTGGCCAGCACGTTGGTGTGGTGGTCGGTGGTGGCCATCACGTTGGTGTGGTGGTCGGTGGTGGCCAGCATGGTGGGTTTGATGGTCTCCAATGTCCATCATGTTGGGTGTGATGGTCTCCAATGTCCATCACGTTGGTGTGGTGGTCAGTGGTGGCCAGCAGGTTGGTGTGGTGGTCAGTGGTGGCCACCACGTTGGTGTGGCGGTCAGTGGTGTCCACCACGTTGGTGTGGTGGTCAGTGGTGGCCACCACGTTGGTGTGGTGGTCTCCAATGTCCACCATGTTGGGTGTGGTGGTTTCTAATGGCCACCACGTTGGGTGGGATGATCTCCAATGTCCATCATGTTGGGTGTGATGGTCTCCAGTGGCCACCATGTTGGGTGTGGTGGTCTCCATTGTCCACCACGTTGGTGTGGGGGTCTCCAATGTCCACCACGTTGGTGTGGTGGTCAGTGGTGTCCACCACGTTGGTGTGGTGGTCTCCAATGTCCATCACGTTGGTGTGGTGGTCAGTGGTGGCCACCACGTTGGTGTGGTGGTCGGTGGTGGCCAGCAGGTTGGTGTGGTGGTCTCCAATGTCCACCACGTTGGTGTGGTGGTCAGTGGTGGCCATCACGTTCGTGTGGTGGTCTCCAATGTCCATCACGTTGGTGTGGTGGTCTCCAATGTCCATCACGTTGGTGTGGTGGTCAGTGGTGTCCATCACGTTGGTGTGGTGGTCAGTGGTGGCCAGCACGTTGGTGTGGTGTTCAGTGGTGTCCATCACGTTGGTGTGGTGGTCTCCAATGTCCACCACGTTGGTGTGGTGGTCAGTTGTGACCACCACGTTGGTGTGGTGGTCGGTGGTGGCCAGCACGTTGGTGTGGTGGTCTCCAATGTCCATCACGTTGGTGTGGTGGTCAGTGGTGTCCACCACGTTGGTGTGGCGGTCAGTGGTGTCCACCACGTTGGTGTGGTGGTCAGTGGTGGCCAGCAGGGCCGCGTGGCGGTGCCGTTGCAGGGCCGCGTCCTGCACCCCGAGCAGCACCGCGTGGTCAGCGTGCGGGAGTGCGCTCGCTCCCAGGGCTTCCCCGACACCTTCCGCCTCTTCGGGAACATCCTGGACAAGCACAGACAGGTGGGTGGCACCAGCACGGTGACACGGAGATGGTGTCCCCTTGTCCCCTTTGTCTCTTTGTGCGTCGAATTCTTGTCCCTTTGTCACTTTGTCCCATTGTCCATTGTCCATTGTCCCATTCTCCATTGTCCATTGTCCATTGTCCATTGTCCATTGTCCATTGTCCCATTGTCCCCATTGTCCCATTGTCCATTGTCCCATTCTCCATTGTCCATTGTCCCATTGTCCATTGTCCCATTGCCCCATTGTCCATTGTCCATTGTCCATTGTCCATTGTCCATTGTCCATTGTCACATTGTCCCATTGTCCCATTGTCCCATTGTCCATTGTCCCATTGTCCCTTTGTCCCATTGTCACTTCGTCCCATTGTCCCATTGTCCCATTGTCCATTGTCCATTGTCCCATTGTCCCATTGTCCCATTGTCCCATTGTCCCATTGTCCATTGTCCCTTTGTCCCATTGTCCCATTGTCCCATTGTCCATTGTCCCATTGTCCATTGTCCCCATTGTCCCATTGTCCCATTGTCCATTGTCCCATTGTCCCATTGTCCATTGTCCCATTGTCCCATTGTCCCATTGTCCCATTGTCCCATTGTCCCATTGTCCCATTGTCCCATTGTCCCATTGTCCATTGTCCATTGTCCCATTGTCCATTGTCCCATTGTGCCATTGTCCATTGTCCCATTGTCCATTGTCCCCATTGTCCCATTGTCCAATTGTCCCTTTGTCCCTTTGTCCCATTGTCCCATTGTCCATTGTCCCATTGTCCCATTCTCCATTGTCCATTGTCCCATTGTCCATTGTCCCATTGTCCATTGTCCCATTGTCCATTGTCCCTTGTCCATTGTCCCATTGTCCATTGTCCATTGTCCATTGTCCATTGTCCATTGTCCTTCTGTCCCATTGTCCCATTGTCCTTCTGTCCCCATGTCCCCATGTCCCTCTGTCCCCATGTCCCTCTGTCTGTCCCCATGTCCCCTGTCCCTCTGTCTGTCCCCATGTCCCTCTGTCTGTCCCATGTCCCTCTGTCCCCATGTCCCTCTGTCTGTCCCCATGTCCCTCTGTCTGTCCCATGTCCCCATGTCCCTCTGTCTGTCCCATGTCCCTCTGTCTGTTCCAATGTCCCCATGTCCCCTGTCCCTCTGTCTGTCCCATGTCCCCGTGTCCCTCTGTCTGTCCCGTGTCCCCATGTCCCCTGTCCCTCTGTCCCCAGGTGGGCAATGCGGTGCCACCTCCCCTGGCCAAGGCCATCGGGCTGGAGATCAAGGCCTGCGCAGTGGCCAAAGCGCGCCAGGACACGGCCGGTGAGTGACCGCTGAGTGACCCCTGAGTGACCCCTGAGTGACCGCTCAGTGACCCCTGAGTGACCCCTGAGTGACCCCTGAGTGACCGCTCAGTGACCCCTGAGTGACCGCTGAGTGACCGCTGAGTGACCCCTGAGTGACCCCTAAGTGACCCCTGAGTGACCCCTGAGTGACCTCTGAGTGACCCTGAGTGACCGCTCAGTGACCGCTGAGTGACCCCTCAGTGACCCCTCAGTGACCCCTGAGTGACCGCTCAGTGACCCCTGAGTGACCTCTGAGTGACCCCTGAGTGACCGCTGAGTGACCGCTGAGTGACCCCTGAGTGACCCCTGAGTGACCCCTGAATGACCCCTAAGTGACCACTGAGTGCTGAGTGACCGCTCAGTGACCGCTGAGTGACCCCTGAGTGACCACTGAGTGACCGCTGAGTGACCCCTGAGTGACCTCTGAGTGACCGCTGAGTGACCCCTGAGTGACCTCTGAGTGACTGCTCAGTGACCATCCCATTGTGTCCCCGTGGTGTCACTGTGGTGTCCCCTCGCTGTCCCCGCTGTCCCCTGGGTGTCCCCTGGGTGTCCCCTGGGTGTCCCCTGGGTGTCCCCTCGCTGTCCCCTGGGTGTCCCCTGGGTGTCCCCTCACTGTCCCCTCAGTGTCCCCTCACTGTCCCCTCACTGTCCCCTCACTGTCCCCGTGTCCCCTCACTGTCCCCATGTCCCCTGGGTGTCCCCTGGGTGTCCCCTCACTGTCCCCATGTCCCCTGGGTGTCCCCTGGGTGTCCCCTGGGTGTCCCCTCACTGTCCCTGTCCCCTCACTGTCCCCTCACTGTCCCCTGGGTGTCCCCTCACTGTCCCCATGTCCCCTGGGTGTCCCATCACTGTCCCCTCACTGTCCCCGTGTCCCCTCACTGTCCCCTCACTGTCCCCTCAGTGTCCCCTCAGTGTCCCCTGGGTGTCCCCTGGGTGTCCCCTCCGTGTCCCCTCAGTGTCCCCTCACTGTCCATGTCCCCTCACTGTCCCCGTGTCCCCTCACTGTCCCCTGGGTGTCCCCTCACTGTGCCCATGTCCCCTGGGTGTCCCCTGGGTGTCCCCTCACTGTCCCCTGGGTGTCCCCTCAGTGTCCCCTCACTGTCCCCTGGGTGTCCCCTCACTGTCCCCATGTCCCCTGGGTGTCCCCTGGGTGTCCCCTGGGTGTCCCCTCAGTGTCCCCTCACTGTCCCCTCACTGTCCCCTCACTGTCCCCTCACTGTCCCCATGTCCCCTCACTGTCCCCATGTCCCCTGGGTTTCCCCTGGGTGTCCCCTGGGTGTCCCCTCACTGTCCCCTCACTGTCCCCATGTCCCCTCACTGTCCCCTGGGTGTCCCCTCACTGTCCCCATGTCCCCTGTATGTCCCCTGGGTGTCCCCTCAGTGTCCCCTCCGTGTCCCGCAGGTCTCGCCGCTGTCCCGGAGCCGTCGGGCGCGGCCGCCTGAGCCCGTTCGGAGCCGGGGGGATCGGGGGGTCTCGGGGGGTCTCGGCTCCCGGGGCTGCTGCGGCCTCGCCGTTGCTTTCAGTTGCCTTTTGGGTCTTTTTTCCCCTTTTTTGGTTTTTTTTCCCCCTTTTTTGTTTTTTTTTCCCCTTTTTGGTTTTTTTCTTCCCCTTTTTTCCTCCTTTTCTCTCATTTTTTTCCCTGTTTTTCTTCTTTGTTCTCTTTCTTCCCTCCCTTGTTTTTTCCCCTTCTTTCTATCCCTTCTTTTCTTTCCCCCTTTTCCTCTTTATTTTCCTTTTTTCTCCTCTTTTTTAAAATTTTTTTAACCCCTTATTTTCCTCTTCATTTTTTCTTCCTTTCCCCTCTTTTTTTTTTTTTTTTTAATTCCTGTATTTTTTTTCTGGCTTTTCACCTTCTTCTTTTTTAAAAGCTTTTTATTTTCCCAATTTGCCTTTTGTTTCTTTTTGTTTGTTTTTATTTTAACCCCTCTCCCTCCGCGCTCTCTGTGCTGCTCCAACCTCCCCTCCTCCCCCCTCAGGGCCCGGCCCCGCTGCCCCGTTTTTATCGCATTGTACCGACCCCCCCCGCGGCCGCTTTGTACAAGGTGGAACTCGATACTTTATGTAGTTTTTATATGTTGTAATATTTCTTCAAATAAATCGCGCCTATAAGTTATAAACAATTCTCCCCCCGCGCTACGAGTAGGCCGCGGGCGCCATGGCGGCGTTGCTTGGCAACCGCTTCCCGCCATGCCCCGCGCGCGGCGCTTCCCGCATTGCCCCCGCCGGAAGTGACGCGCGCGGGCCGGAAGTGGCGCGCGGCCTTTCCGGTGTGGCGGCGTGAGGGCGGCGGAGGCGATGCCGGCGGGGGACTACGAGTGAGGGGGAGCGGGAACGGGAACCGGGAACGGGAACCGGGAACCGGGAGCGGGAACGGGCACGGGAATTGGGGAGCGGGAACGGGAATTGGGGAGCGGGAACGGGAATTGGGGAGCGGGGCCGGGAACCGGGAACGGGAACGGGAATTGGGGAACGGGAACCGGGAATTGGGGAGCGGGGCCGGGAACCGGGAACGGGAACGGGAATTGGGGAGCGGGGCCGGGAACGGGCAGCGGGAACCGGGAGCGGGAACGGGAATTGGGGAACGGGAACCGGGAACGGGAATTGGGGAACGGGAATTGGGGAGCGGGAACCTGGAGCGGAATCGGGAATGGGAACCGGGATTGGGAACCAGGAGTGGCAAACGGGAACCGGGAACGGGGAGCGGGAGTGGGAACCGGGAACGGGAACCGGGAGTGAGAATCGGAACCGGGAACAGGAACTGGAATTGGGGAGCGGGGCCGGGAACGGGGAGTGGGAACCGGGAACGGGAATTGGGGAACGGGGCCGGGAGCGGGCAGCGGGGCCGGGAACCGGGAGTAGGAACGGGAATTGGGAACCGGGAACGGGAACTGGGAGTGGGTATTGCGATCGGGAATGGAGACCCGGAACCGGGAGTGAGAATCGGAACCGGGAACCGGGATTGGGATCGGGAACGGGATTGGAATAGGGAGTGGGAATCGGAACCGGGAACGGGAACCGGGATTGGGAACCGGGAACGAGAACTGGGATTGGAATAGGGAACCGGGAGTGGGAATCGGAACCGGGAACGGGAACCGGGATCGGGATCGGGAATGGGAACCGGGAGTGGGAATCGGAACCGGGATCAGGAGGTGGGATCGGGATCGGGAACCTGGAGCGGAATCGGGAATGGGAACCGGGAGTGGGAACCGGGAATGGGGAGCGGGAGTGGGTATTGCGATCGGGAATGGAGACCGGAACCGGGAGTGGGAATCGGAACCGGGAACGGGAACCGGGATCGGGATCGGGAATGGGAACCGGGAGTGGGAATCGGAACCGGGAACCGGGAACCGGGATTGGGATCGGGAACCGGGAGTGAGAACCGGAACCGGGATTGGGATCGGGGATCGGGAACCGGGATCGAGAACGGGAACCGGGAATGGGAATCGGGATCGGGAACCGGGAGTGGGAATCAGGACCGGGATCAGGAGGTGGGATCGGGAACGAGGAGCGGGATCCGGAACCGAGAACCGGAACCGGATCGAGACCGGGAATGGGAACCGGGAACGGGAACCGGGATCGGGGCGGGGCCGTGAGGGGGACAGAGGGGACACCGGGGACACCGGGGATGGCACAGGGACACCGGGGGTGGCACAGGTGACACCGGGGGTGGCACAGGGGTGACACAGGGACACCGGGGGTGGCACAGGGGTGGCACAGGTGACACAGGGGGTGGCACAGGGGTGACACAGGGACACCGGGGGTGGCACAGGGGTGGCACAGGTGACACAGGGGGTGGCACAGGTGACACCTGAGGGTGGCACAGGGTGGCACAGGTGACACCGGGGGTGGCACAGGGACACCGGGGGTGGCACAGGGGTGACACAGGGACACCGGGGGTGGCACAGGGGTGGCACAGGTGACACAGGGGGTGGCACAGGTGACACCTCAGGGTGGCACAGGGTGGCACAGGTGACACCGGGGGTGGCACAGGGTGGCACAGGTGACACCGGGGGTGGCACAGGGACACCGGGGGTGGCACAGGGTGGCACAGGTGACACAGGGGGTGGCACAGGTGACACCTGAGGGTGGCACAGGGTGGCACAGGGACACCGGGGGTGGCACAGGGACACCGGGGGTGGCACAGGGACACCGGGGGTGGCACCGGGAGTGGCACAGGGGCACCGGGGGTGGCACAGGAGGGGACAGGGACACCGGGGTGGCACGGGGGTGGCACAGGTGACACCGGGGGTGGCACAGGGACACCCGAGGGTGGCACAGGTGACACCGGGGGTGGCACGGGGGTGGCACAGGTGACACCGGGGGTGGCACGGGGTGGCACAGGTGACACCGGGGGTGGCACAGGGACACCGGGGGTGGCACAGGGGTGGCACAGGGACACCGGGGGTGGCACAGGTGACACGGGGGTGGCACGGGGTGGCACAGGTGATACTGGGGATGACACAGGGACACCGGGGGTGGCACAGGGACACCGGGGGTGGCACAGGTGACACCGGGGGTGGCACGGGAGTGGCACAGGGACACCGGGATGGCACAGGTGACACCAGGGGTGGCACAGGGACACCGGGGGTGACACCGGGGGTGGCACAGGTGACACCGGGGGTGGCACAGGGGTGGCACAGGTGACACCGGGGGTGGCACAGGGACACCGGGGGTGGCACAGGTGACACCGGGGGTGGCACAGGGGTGGCACAGGTGACACCGGGGGTGGCACAGGGGTGGCACAGGTGACACCGGGGGTGGCACAGGGACACCGGGGGTGGCACAGGTGACACCGGGGGTGGCACAGGGGTGGCACGGGGGTGGCACAGGGACACCGGGGGTGGCACAGGTGACACCGGGGGTGGCACGGGGTGGCACAGGTGACACCGGGGGTGGCACAGGGTGGCACAGGTGACACCGAGGCCGTTGTGTCCCCACAGCTCCAAGCCCAGCTGGGCTGACCAGGTGGAGGAGGAGGGAGGAGAGGATGGTGAGTGGCACCGGCACACCTGGCACACCTGGCACACCTGGGGGGTGGCACTGGGCACACCTGTGGCACCGGCACACCTGGGGGGGGTGGCACCTGTGGTATCGGTCACACCTGTGGCACACCTGGCACACCTGTGGCACACCTGGGGGGTGGCACCCGAGGTATCTGTCACACCTGTGTCACCTGGCACACCTGGCACACCTGGGAGGGGTGGCACCCGAGGTATTTGTCACACCTGTGGTACCTGGCACACCTGGCACACCTGGGGGGTGGCACCGGCACACCTGGCACACCTGTGGAGGGTGGCACCTGTGGTATTTGTCACACCTGTGGCACCAGACACACCTGGAGGGTGGCACTGGGCACACCTGGCACACCTGGCACACCTGGGGGGTGGCACCCGTGGTATCAGTCACACCTGTGGCACCTGGCACACCTGGGGGGGGGTGGCACCCATGGTATTTGGCACACCTGTGGCACCTGGCACACCTGGGGGGTGGCACCTGGCACACCTGGGGGGTGGCACCCGTGGTATCGGTCACACCTGTGGTACCTGGCACACCTGGGGGGTGGTACCTGGCACACCTGGCACACCTGGGGAGTGGCACCCGAGGTATCGGTCACACCTGTGGCACCGGGCACACCTGTGGCACCGGGCACACCTGGCACACCTGGGGGGGTGGCACCCGTGGTATCTGTCACACCTGTGGTACCTGGCACACCTGGGGGGTGGCACCTGGCACACCTGGCACACCTGGCACACCTTGGGGGTGGCACCCGAGGTATCGGTCACACCTGTGGTACCGGGCACACCTGTGGTACCTGGCACACCTGGGGGGTGGCACCCCAGGTATTTGTCACACCTGTGGCACCTGGCACACCTGGGGGGTGGCACCCGAGGCATTTGTCACACCTGGCACACCTGGCACACCTGGGAGGGGTGGCACCTGTGGTATCTGTCACACCTGTGGCACCGGGCACACCTGGGGGGTGGCACCGGGCACACCTGTGGCACACCTGTCAGGGTGGCACCCCAGGTATTTGTCACACCTGTGTCACCTGGCACACCTGGGGGGGTGGCACCCATGGTACCTGTCACACCTGTGGCACACCTGGGGGGTGGCACCCAAGGTATTTGTCACACCTGTGGCACCTGGCACACCTGTGGTACCTGGCACACCTGTGGCACCGGCACACCTGGGGGGTGGCACCCGAGGTATCGGTCACACCTGTGGTACCTGGCACACCTGTGGCACACCTGTCAGGGTGGCACCTGTGTCCTTGGGGACAAAGAGCTGTGCCAGGGGCTGGGGTGACTGGTGCAGGTGAGAGGGGTCACCTGTGCCCAGGTGAGGGTACCTGTGCCCAGGTGAGGCTGTACCTGTGCCCAGGTGAGCCCAGGTGAGGCTGTACCTGTGCCCAGGTGTGCCCAGGTGAGTTCCCGTGCCCAGGTGCCCACCTGAGGCCCGTTACCTGTCCCAGACAAGGTTCCCTGTGCCCAGGTGAGCCCAGGTGAGTTCCCGTGCCCGGGTGAGGCTGTACCTGTGCCCAGGTGTGCCCAGGTGAGTTCCCGTGCCCGGGTGCCCACCTGAGGCCCGTTAC